ACTTAACGATTTAATTAATTCTTTTTTGTTTAAAAGCGATAAAATTTGATGAACCTCACTGATTAATTTTAGCAATTCGCTAATTTTCAAAGCTTCAGGAAGTATTACCGGCGTCGTAGAAACTTAGATAGTTCGACTCTTCTGGTGGTATAGTCTTCAGGAAAAAGAATATTTTCGATCTGAAACAAGGAAGAATTTTTTTAAAATATCTCGAAGACTTACCAAAAAACAAAATATCGAGCGCATATACTTTTTGAATCCTGCTTATAGCAATCTACGATAGATGCAGAAAAATGCCGATCATTGTGGGTGCTTTGATAACAGTTGTCTCTAACAAGTGTGCATTTATGAGGCTTCATAGACGTTTGTTTTTTGTAGGTATAGTTTTTGGTATACTTGTCGAGTTCCCATCCTCGTCGCTGAGGGAATGACTTGAGTCTATTATTTTGAAGTTTCAGGGCTCCGGCGTAAACAAAACAAATTAAACTGTCATCTCTTCAAATCCGTATTTTGAGTCCAAAAATTCCAAAAATATACAACTTATCAGCATTTCAACTTCATTAAAAATCCTGAAATTTAGATCTAGGCCTAAGACAATTTTCTAACAAATTAAACACTGAACTATTCAAGAGAAGCGCAATTTTCTTAATTTTTTGGAACACTTTATATATTCCAAATTGAATTGTGAAAAATTGGAAGAAAAATATTCACAGGTTTCCCGAAAAATTCTTGTTTTATTGAGGGAAAAATGGCAACGTCTTAAGGTTCATACAGCGTTCCTTCTTAGCAAGTAGTAAATATTGAGTAGTTCGGATAAGGTTTCATTTTCATAATGGAAAATGAAATGAAACACAGGTTAGGGTAAAGTTGCTAAGGTGAGCATGAGTAAAAATATGGCTACAGGAGGAAAACGAGACCGTACCGAACCAAGCACAAGCAGGAGAGGGCGATGAGGAAGGGCAAGGGAAGCTGACCCAAAACTCTCTAAAGCCAAGACAGAGGAAGGACGAGACACCAAATTTTCGAGGCCCCTGCAGTTCTCGGTCAATGGCCAGGCAGTGGTAATTAGCGCGCGCGTTGTAAATGGTGGACAATAGGGAGGGTACAAAGAATTAGCAGGCCTTTACACAAAAGGAAGCATAGAAGATATTCTCTTCTGAGGAGCGCTCTTCGGCCGGTGACGAGCAAACTCTGCATGCCCAAACACGGTTCGTTTGAGTAAAAGTTATATGAAACTTTCTATCACTCAAAAAGTCTTTTCGGATTCGAAAAGTAGAGTAAAAATGGAGTCTTTCTAGCTAAAAATGAAAATAGGTTGTTCGAGCTCCTGGAGAAATATATCGTTTTTTGTATTTTTTAGGGCTTATGAGAGGGTGATACAAAAATTGAATCTAATTTCGTCAATGTTTCTGTTTTAATTTCTAAACTAAGATAGCTATCAAAATGATCTTGGTTTCATTTTAAAGCTGGTGTAATTTGCCGTCGATTGAATGGTCTGCAAGGTAATTTTGTTAAAAATTGACAAAGTTATGATAGCTTGAATGAGGGGTATCCAAAATAAGCTTACTTGTTTTCCTTATCGAGTAAGGCTCTATTTTTTCTTATTTTCCCTTCAAGACCAAAAACACTAGAGTCAATCTGTAAAAATTACAGCATTTGTAATACTCTCAGGTCTGTAACGAGCGTCAGATTTTTAAATTTGACCCATTGGTTCCGGAGAAAATCAATTTTTGGTTTCGGTTCCGTTCTGCTTACAATCAGCTATTGACATACGGCGCAAGACGCGCCACTGACGAGGAGACCAAGTACAGAAAATCGATTTTATCCACTTTAACAATCGATCAAATTTAACATGTAAAGCTCGTTAGAAAGTTCAAAATATGATAGAGAACATTTTACTCTTTGCGTTTTTTCCCTAAGCCCCCATTTTTTGGAGTTATGGGTCATTTTCGGGGCAATTTTCAATTCGATGCTGTAAGTGGCCAAATTTTTCACATTTCAAAATCTAAAAGTCTCCTGAGAGGAGAGGTCAATACCTTTTTATTGATGTGCCATATGACCCCTGCTGCTCCAAAAATTTGGGGGCCACGACCTCTCAAAAATTTTGGGGCTTTGGAGGGCCATAATTCACAAACATTTCAAATAGCAAGGGTATGTTTCGACTTCAGATACGGACTCTACGCGAAAAATTACGTAGAATTGATATGGCGCACGGCCTGTTTGCTCCAAATTACTAAAGAACCCCATTTCTCCATAAAAGGCCGGGTATTTTTGGAGAAAATAAGGGGCACAAACAATCTGAATCAAACAGGCCGTGCGCCATCTACGTTACTTTTGGCGTAAAATCCATATCTGAAGTCAAAACATACCCTTGCTATGATGATATGGCGCACAGCCTGTTTGATTCAGGTATTTTGGGCCCCTTATTTTCTCCAAAAATACCCGGCCTTTTATGGAGAAATGGGGTTCTTTAGTAATTTGGAGCAAACAGGCCGTGCGCCATATCAATTTTACGTAATTTTTCGCGTAGAATCCATATCTGAAGTCGAAACATACCCTTGCTATTTGAAATTTTTGTGAATTATGGCCCTCCAAAGCCCCAAAATTTTTGAGAGGTCGTGGCCCCCAAATTTTTGGAGCAGCAGGGGTCATATGGCACATCAATAAAAAGGTATTGACCTCTCCTCTCAGGAGACTTTTAGATTTTGAAATGTGAAAAATTTGGCCACTTACAGCATCGAATTGAAAATTGCCCCGAAAATGACCCATAACTCCAAAAAATGGGGGCTTAGGGAAAAAACGCAAAGAGTAAAATGTTCTCTATCATATTTTGAACTTTCTAACGAGCTTTACATGTTAAATTTGATCGATTGTTAAAGTGGATAAAATCGATTTTCTGTACTTGGTCTCCTCGTCAGTGGCGCGTCTTGCGCCGTATGTCAATAGCTGATTGTAAGCAGAACGGAACCGAAACCAAAAATTGATTTTCTCCGGAACCAATGGGTCAAATTTAAAAATCTGACGCTCGTTACAGACCTGAGAGTACTACAAATGCTGTAATTTTTACAGATTGACTCTAGTGTTTTTGGTCTTGAAGGGAAAATAAGAAAAAATAGAGCCTTACTCGGTAAGGAAAACAAGTAAGCTTATTTTGGATACCCCTCATTCAAGCTATCATAACTTTATCAATTTTTAACAAAATTACCTTGCAGACCATTCAATCGACGGCAAATTACACCAGCTTTAAAATGAAACCAAGATCATTTTGATAGCTATCTTAGTTTAGAAATTAAAACAGAAACATTGACGAAATTAGATTCAATTTTTGTATCACCCTCTAATAAGCCCTAAAAAATACAAAAAACGATATATTTCTCCAGGAGCTCGAACAACCTATTTTCATTTTTAGCTAGAAAGACTCCATTTTTACTCTACTTTTCGAATCCGAAAAGACTTTTTGAGTGATAGAAAGTTTCATATAACTTCTACTCAAACGAACCGTGCAAAGGCAAAGAGTGAACTTTTATGTACTTGGACTGCTGCGTACTCACTCTCTGGAAGTTTTATGAAGGCATTTTTGGGGACCGGCTTAAGAGCGGAAGCAGCTAGAAGAGTCGCTCTCCGCTCTCGAGAGCACTCTCGGTCCCTGATCTATCAGAAGATCTGTAGCCGGATCTATTGAGATTAGTTCTGAATTGCTCGGAATCACTGTCTTTTAGATACGCAGCTCGCATCTATCAAGGCCAGTAGATGAGGAAAGTAAATAATCAGCCTGCAGGTGTGCTTCTAAGTAGCCGAGTTTGTTGATCTATGTTGCAAGGTCGATTTCGGTATGACCCACTTCGTTCGTAAAAGGGCCTTTCCGCCAGTCATGCTTGGCTTGGATTATTTGCAACCTCTTTTCTGAGACCTGGTCTATTCGTCATTGATTTTGAGAAAAAATAAGTTCGAGCACAATATGATGCCATAGTCGCACCTATTTTACTAGTTTTGGGAATTTTACGCATCATCATTAACCCTGATAAAAACCACCCTGGTGCTTTTTCGATGTTTCACCATAAAATGTCGAACACCGTGTTTTAATCGGAAAATGGCATTCATGAGAAACATTCTTTTTTGCGACACTGTCCTACGCGCTGAAAAGGAATAGCAGTGTCCTTCTTTTCGCTCATCAAAACGTTTCTTCGCCGGAATATCTCTTAACTCTCCTATCTCTGTGAATGGCATTTCTTACTTCCTTTCTTGGCCATTTTAACTTCAACCAGGAAAAAACACAAATAAATAAATCCCTACGTCCAAAACAAGCACATTTTCACTAGACACATGTAGCGATAACTGTGCCGTAAGGAAGATTTCGATACTACTGAATGTGTAATGGTTTTTCATGTGCACATTTTAACATGCTGTCCTGTCAACGCTTCCTTGGATCGAGCAAGTACTATGGATAATAGATGGTCATTGGTAACAGCTGTTCAGTGGTGCAAACCCTCGACTTTACGAATGCTCTCGTGAGCTTGTGGGAAAATCCTGCCAAGTGCGGAGATTTCCCGCTTTTGTCGGGGTCTTGTCTTACATATTTTGTTTGCTTGCGTATCCGTATATCAGACATTTGTTGAGAGTTCCAAGGGTTCCTGAAAAAGTTATGTGAAAGAATGATGAATTTTGACTTGACATCCGCCTTTTTTACATATAACACTGCTTTTACCTGATTTCTCACTCCAGAATTGAGATCTGGGTCTAAAAATTTGTACACATGCTTTTGAGGGTCCGTACATTTAAAAAAGCTGTTCTCCCTTAAAATGGCATATGTAGATATCCATCGTTCTTTCAGATAAGGCTTCATTTTGGACCGTAACAGAAGCTATGGCCCCTCTGTAAAGAGCCCTTAAAACTGCATTATACCTTTATGAGATCAGTGCATTGCTGGCATCTTTGTTTCTTTGCATTAGATTCCAAATTTTGAGAGTTTTAATGGAACTGAGTTCTCTCCTTTTTCTCAGGGTAAACCTGCTGATTATTTTATCCTGATCTTGGAGGGCCGAGTTGAAGCCACAGTTGGTCGAGAGAATCTCATTTTCGAAAGTGGGCCATTCACTTATTTTGGAACTCAAGCGTTACAACAAAATATAGGCTTAGGTATGTATTTCTTTCTTCCCACTAAGAATGTCAAATGGTCCAAGCATTGTCACAGTACGTAAGTAGAGGGTGTCCCAGGGTCCGTGTCGAAAAATGCAGAGGGATTGGGAGGTCAGAATTAATCTTTTTCGTCGTTTAAACATGAGTCAAAAGTCAAACCGCTCGGAACTATAGGGATGCAATGTTATGGAAAAAATCATTTTATTTTGACGTGAGGCTCTCTTTTGAGAAAATTGTCTTGAAGGCTGGCATTAGGCAGGAATGTCCCTCTGAATTTTCATTCAAAAATTTTAAAAGAGAATTCTGGTCAGAGGGAGAGAGGGCGAGAATCTCCCTAGTATAAAATATTTATCTTCAGAGAAAAGAAAAAGTGTTATACAGACAAATTCTGTGAGAATGCAAAGAGGAGATTCTCCGATGTCTCTTGTGTTCTTTTGGTGGTGCAAACTGTTTCCAAGAAATTCGACGTGAAAGATGGAAATTTTTGTAGCAAGTAGGCAAACTATATAGTAAAGAGTCATTCTGTTGTGGTGCATTTAAGCGGAGGTGGGGCCATGGCAAGTGGACCTTCCTTTGCCCACCCCACTTCAGCTGCATGGGTCTCCTATCCGGGTCCAAATTCTCCAACTTTAGCATCCATTCCTTGGTAATGATTGTTTCCACAAAGAAATACACGAGACATTGCAAGGTCACCTCCTTGCGATCAGATAGCATTGTGAATTTTGGTGTTGATTCTGATTTTTCATTAAAATTTATCAGAAAAGTATTCTGGGGCGCTTTGGAAGGTTGTTTACCTTTTAAACATGACAACTTCTCGTTTTAGTATAGATAATTTTTTTTTTTTTTTTTTTTT